GCAGGAAGTGCTACACCTGCCCCCACACCTCCCCCCTCACCCCCATCCCAGGCTCCAAGGAGACCTTCCACATCAAGCAGATGTTCACCTGCACATCTGCTAATGTGGTATACTGCATCCGCTGTTCCCGATGTGGCCTCCTCTACATCGGGGAAACCAAGCGGAGGCTTGGGGACCGCTCTGCAGAACACCTACGCTCGGTTCGCACTAAACAACTGCACCTCCCAGTCGCGAACCATTTCAACTCCCACTCCCATTCCTTAGACGACATGTCCATCCCGGGCCTCCTGCAGTGCCACAACGATGCCACTCGAAGGTTGCCGGAACAGCACCTCATATTTTGCTCGGGAGCCCTGCAGCCCAATGGTCTCAATGTGGACTTCACAATCTTCAAAATATCCCTTCCCCCTACCGCATCCCAAAACCAAAAAAGGGTCTAAGCCCGAAACGTCAGCCTTCCTGCTCCTCTGATGCTGCTTGGCCTGCTGTGTTCATCCAGCTCTACACCTTGTTATCTCAGCTTGTCCACACCTCCCTAACCTGTTGTTCCTCCCACCTATCCACTCCTCCCACCTCAAGCCCCACCCCCATCTCCTACCCACCCTCTTGACCTGTCCGTCCTCACTGGACTGACCTATCCCCTCCCTAACTCCCTACCTACACTCACCTTTACTGGCTCCATCCCCACCTCTTTGACCTGTCTGTCTCCTCTCCATCTATCTTCTCCTTTATCCATCTTCTATCCACCTCCCCCTCTCTCCCTATTTATTTCAGAATCCCCTTCCCTTCCCCCATTTCCGAAGAAGGGTCTAGGCCCAAAACGTCAGCTTTCCTGCTCCTCTGATGCTGCTTGGCCTACTGTGTTCATCTCGCTCTACATCTTGTTATCTCGGATTCTCCAGCATCTGCAGTTCGTACTACCTCTTCAATGCCCACTTACCTGGAAGAGATGTAGCAGTGAGTAAAACACTAAAATATAACAAAGAACTGCAACACAGATGTAAATAAATTACACTACCTCAGCTTATCATCAGCAAACAACCTGTACAGATATGTGTTGGGAATTTTGAGATAAACTGTTTTGAATATTACTGATTCTGTTTACAAATAAAAACCGTGGAAAAGACTGTGTCAAAGTGGCTGCAAGCTCAGAGAGAGGATTGTGGATTTCAGACCAGGTCCGTACATGAGCCATGATAGAATACCATCCTTAATTTAATTATGTTTCGCTGTGGTCCCCTGGAGGAGATAACAATCTTTTATTATCCACTCATCGCGAGAATGTAAATTGAACAACGAACAGAACAAAAGCGAAGAACCACAGGTGGGAGAAGGGCTGCTTTTGAACTGTCAATGCCTTAATTGAAACATGACTTAGCTTTTCTGCTGAAGTCACAGGGTAACAGCATCCATCTTACCTTGCCAGCTAAAAACCACGCAAAAAAAGCAAGCATGCTGCTGACAGATATCCCATCTTGAGCTACGTGGAAGAAAATTCTCTCCAGAAATGGGGGAGATACTTTGCAACAGCTAGTGGAACATTGTACAGGAACTGGGCAACTACAATTGCAACATCTGACAAACCAGAAGCCAGCAATCCTTACCAGGAGCAAATTACTGCAGATGCTGGAATCTGAACTGAAAACAAAAAGTGCTGGAGATCACAGCGTGTCAGGCAGCATCTGTGGAGAGAGAGTAAGCTAATGTTAGCTTGCTTTCTGTCCATGCAAGCTGCCTGACATGCTGTGATCGCCAGCAATCTCTCGTCTCTCTTCCTCAAAATCAGTTGTACTGCTGTGTCTGCCTGTACAAGAAACAAAACAACAATTCAACTACTGAAACCACCACCGCTGCTACATCCTGACTTCATGTCTCCAATTCTTTCAATTTGGAAAAAAGGGCCTGCTATGTTAATGAACACAACTGACCGTCTACTTTATCTATGCCTCTTATCCATTGCTACTTTTAATCTTTGTATCTATATATTGACTAATAATTGTAGCACACTTTTATATCATTCAGCTGTAGTTGTGTAATAAACTAACCTATGATCTTGTTTAAAGTCAATGCTTCATTGCTAGTTATTTTTAAAATTGGAACACAAAAAGCAAGCTAAAAGGGGCTAAAATATATATAAGTATGTAAATTCACAGTTTACTGGCCACCCTATGGACACGCCTAGTGGTCATAACAATATCAATGAATATTTTTGTGGTCATGGCCCTTATCAAACTTGATGTGCTGCTGTAGTTGCTCAGTGGGTAGAATTTTCACCTTTTAATTAAGGCAATGTGTTTGGTTTCCATGCCAGGGGCTTGGCTTTATTGTGGACGTCAGGAAGAATCACAGCATCGTGAGTCAAAGCCATTTTTCAAAGCATGGAGATGGGAATAGGATGGTGTCTACCAACTCCCACAACCCTGTTATGAGCCCATCATTCGTATAAGTATGTCAGAGATGTTTGTGTTTCAATCCTATGAGTTAATTATTAAGCAGATCATGCAGATTTCTTACCTAATTGAGATCTATGCTCATCCACTTGAAGGGCTGAACCCAAATAGACATATCAAAAGGATTGATTTCAATAATAAACATTAAAATATTCCAGTAAACAGCACGGTTTCCTTGGGGTGACAGTAAGCTACAAAACATAATAAATTCTTGTGGCAAAAATAGAAACTGATGGAAAAGCTCAGCAGGTCTGGCAGCATCAGTGGATAGGGGTCAGGGTTATTGAGTCAGGTCGAGTGACCCTTTCTCAGGAAGACTGTGCTAGAAGGTTGAAATGAGAGGAGCTCAGAGCAGGGAGTTCTGCTGCTATATCATCATGGAGCTATTCCTGATAAAAACCACCTTAAAAAAACCTAGACATCTAGCCTGAATTTATATGAAAGACAGAAGAATCTGGACTAAAATAATATGCTCTGCAAAATCACAAGAATTTGGAAACCGAAAGAACTCAGAGTTAACATTTCGGGTCAAGTGACCCTTCCTCAGATCCTGCCAGACCTGCTGAGCTTTTCCAGCAATTTCTATTTTTGTTGCTGTTTTGCAGCACCTGCAGGTTCTTTCACCTGAAAGAAGTTCTCCTCTCCCTTCTGACACTGTCTTAAACACATTGACAGTCAACTCACAATGTGTCCCAGAGACCCATCTTTATATTCATTAAACCTTATCTCTAGTCAGATCACCTTGGAAATGGGGAAGCATCATGTTAGCACCATGAGCGGACTCATGGGCAATGGAGAATGATCACCCCATTTGTTTTCAAATGTGTTTCTCCTGCGAGCAAAACAGCAAAACTTATCTAATGAGGAAAGATTGAGCAGTTTGGGCCTGTACTGTTTCGAGTTTAGAACAATGAGAGATCTAATTGAGATAAATTACGTCTCTCAAAAGGTCACATATCTGCGAAATTCACTCAGAGTACAGTAGATAGAATCCCTACAGTGCAGAAAGAGGCCATTTGGCCCATCAATTCTGCACCGACCCTCCGACAGACATCCCACATAGACCCACCTTATTCCTGTAACCCTGCATTTCCCATGGCTAACCCAGCTAGCCTGCACATCCCTAGACAGTCCAGGCAACTTAGCATGGCCAACCCACCCTAACCTGCATATCTTTGGACTGTGGGAGGAAATTGGTGCACCCAGAGGAAATCCACGCAGACACGGGGAGAATGTGCAAACCCCACACAGACAGTCGCCCGAGGGTGGAATCGAACCCGGGTCCCTGGTGCTGTGAAGCAGCAGTGCTAACCACTGAATCACCATGCTGTTCTAGGACATTGAGTTAATGCCAGGGCATTGAGCAAATTCAAGGAGGAGAGAGACAGATTTTTAATTAGGAACAGGTTAAAAGGTTATGGAGAGGTTATGGAGGGGACAGGTAAGTGGAGTTGAGGCTGAGGTGGCATCAGCCATGATTGTATTGAATGTGGGAGCAGGCTCGAGGGGCTGAATGGCCTAATCCTGCTCTTAGTGCTTCTGCTAAAGTGTGAAAGGATATGGCTGCAAAAGGAGGGACAGCAGCAACATCAACATTTAAGCTGTACCATTGGATTCAGGAGCATCTTGAAAACTTTACAGTTCGCATGACAGGGTGGAGGGGGCTGGAGTTTGGATTTAGTGTGGGCCTGGTGCGCTTGGGAGAGGGCTCAACAATTTGGCTCTCATTTACATGCTGGCTCTCAATTGTGCTGTAGTCATTCAGGAATGAGCTTTCAGGAAGGGGCACCATGTCACCGTCTATCCACCCTCTGGTTCCCAATTTTCCGAATCTTGGATCGTGCCCATGCTGTGCCATTGCAGGAGTCAAAGTGGAGGTTAATTCCATTGGGTCCACACTATTTGGTGGGATTGGGCTTTACTCTTCACAGACTGTGAATATCACAACATCATCTCTAGTGGGATCTTCCCTCCATCACTCCCACATTTCCACCTTGCTGATTAACTATGATCAGATGGTTATTACACAGCTGGTATATGGTTCCAATTTTAATACATTTTTGCCATAGAAAGGGAAATAATGGCCTAGTGGTAATGTCAATGGACTGTTAATCTAGAGACCCAGGTAATGTTCTGGGGACCCGGGACCGAATCCCGCTACAGCAGATGGTAGAATTTGAATTCAATAAAAATCTGGATTTAAGAGACTAATGATGACCATGAATTTTTTGTTGATTGTTGGAAAAACCCATCTGCTTTACTAATGACATTCAGGGAAGGAAACTGCCCTCTTTACCCAACCTAGCCTACATGTGACTCCAGACCCACAGCAATGTGGTTGACTCTTAACTGCCCTCTGGGCAACTAGGGATGGGCAATAAATGCTGTCCTAGCCAGAGATGCCCCTCATCCTATGAATGAATGAATGAATGAATAAAAACACAAATGTGGGGGACTTCTTCCACGCACCTCGAGCTGTAACTTTGTGACCCATTCATCCACGTGGACACTTAACAGACAATGATAAACCCAGGTTTGCAATGTGCCTACCTCACAGACATTTTGGTGACCTGCTCTGGTCCTTATCAGCTCCTGTTGTGCTAATGTGACCCTGAATGGATCAGCAGTTCTGCCAGTATTCACGGCAACTGACAATTCTGGGATGTTGGACTGGCAGCTGCTGTTTGGGGGCGTCTTCGGACTATTTAAGAAGCAAGAAATTCTGTTTCTTCTTCCAGATATGTCTCCGTTGTTTTGTCCTGGAATTCCATAATCTTTCAGGACTTTCCTGCAACACAAACCAGATGGGAATAAATTGCTTTCATTGAACAGGTAGTTCAGCTATAATGCGTGTTTCATTAATGTGAATTGGCTGTAACACCATTGATCAATTGTGGACGCTGTTCGGATAACGCAAATTTTTTATAGCACAAGGTCACGAAAGAACGCAACTATCGCGTGATAGGAGAACTACCTGTATGCTGATTTTTACCTTTTCAAAAATGCTCAGGATTTGTTATTGGTATATTAATCTTTATGTATTTAATAATCAAACAGTGGACTAGAGTATAGGAGACTGAGGGGTGACCTAATAGAGGTCTATATAATCATTAGGGGCCTGGATAAAGTAGATAGCCAACAGCGTTTCTCCATCGTATAGGAGTCTAAAACCAGAGGGCGTAGGTTTAAGGTGAGAGGGGAAATATACAATAGGGCCCAGAGGGGCAATTTTTTCAAACAGAGGCTGGTGAGTATCTGGAATGAGCTGCAAGAGGTAGTGGTGGAGGCGAGTACAATTTTGTCATTTAAGAAACATCTAGACAGGAATGTGGATGGGATGGGTATAGGGGGATGGGACCAAACACAGGCAAATGGGACTAGTTTGATTGCGAAAACTGGGCAACATGGGCAAGTTGGACCGAAGGACTGTAGACCTCTATGATTCTCTGTCATTCTATGTAGAGAACTTGAGCAGAGAGATCTAGGCTGACAGCCATGGGCAGTACAGAGGGAGTGCTGCACTGTTGGAGGTGTTGTCTTTTGGATGGCACATTAAGCCGAGATCCTGCCTCTCCTCTCAGGGGGATGACAAAATGCCCTGACACTCTTTTGAAGACCAGGGGATTTCTTCCAATGGCCAATACCTTTGCCTCAAACAACATCTTCACCAAAAAGAGATAATCTAATCATTATCACGTGGATGTGGGAGCTGGCTGTGTACAAGTTGGCTGCCATGTTTTGATACATTACAACAGTGACTACAATCCAAAAGGTACTTTATAAGGCGGTAGGTTGATTTGAGATATCATGAACGACCAAATAGACTTTTGGGAGGGATTATCTTTCAGAAGTATGATATTTTACACTTCACAGCCATGATTTATTTGATTTTATAACATAAGTTGTTTTATCTTTGCTACAAAATTAGACTGATGTGGATAAACCTTCTGGTGTGAGGCTCATGCACATAGGCCACTGAACAACACAATTTCCCCATTTGAGACAGGGCTTACACACAGTGCCAGGGCCCCATGTCCAGTGGTGTAACATAGCTGGGTCTTGGTGCTCATTATGTTTTGCAGGAGGTTTTACTGGAACTATCGTTCCAAAGTACTTGATTGGCAGTGAAGCATTTTGGAACTTCCTGAGGTTGTGACAGGTGCCAGCGAAATGCAAGTTCTGTCTTTTTTTTGTTTCCTTGTGTAACGAACACCTCATGAAGCAGTTCCGTTTCGACTGATGTGAGGGAGGTTAGTGCGTATTTTGTTGATGTGATCTAACTGAAGCTGTGCTGCTGACATTAGTGAAGGAGACCAAAGGAGGTAGCAGCTGGTATCTACCTCGCTCACTCAGTGAGAGCTTAACAACGTCATAAAAGGGAACATTGAAACATTTTCCGTCTTTAGTGACCCTGTTCGTCATTCTAATGAACAGTCAGAAGCAACTTCCCCTGGTTTATTTCCAGAGCATGATAAACAATGCACTGCTAACCGTGGCTTCAAAAGCTGAAAGAATTAAAATCAACCCACTCCCATGTCGCTGACATACTATAGCCCATTCAGACAATAAACTGTGGACACTACATGAGCAAAGAGGTTGGGGTGTTTTCATATTTGCAAGAAAGAGAGAACTAGGGGCCATCAGGATAAGTCAATCACTAAAAAATCCAATCAGGAATTCAGGAAACCATTCAACATCAGAGCATAAGTAGGCCATTTGGCCCATTGAGGCTGCTCTCCCATTCAATGTCCTGTAAATCTTCAACTCCATTCTCCCCATAAACTTTCCCGATTAAAAATCTGTCTGTCTCGGCCTTGAATGTATTTAATGACCCAGCCTCGTGGTAGAGAATTTCACAAATTCCCTACCCTCTTTTTGACAGGGAATCTTTATCCACAGAGTGGTGAGAGTCCAAACCTCGCTATCTCAGGGAATAGTGGAGGGGAACAGCTTAGGTGCACTCGAAATGTTACTGATCTTGTGCACTGTGGAAGGATATTTAGAGTCTGCCAAGCCAGGGGAAAACACTAACTTTATTTAATAAACATCCCACTGAGGCTTCATTTTGCCCCAAGGTTACAAGAGAAAAAGCAAGATCATGTGACATTGCACCAGCTCCCATGAGAACAAAACCTATATCTCAATAGCATGTCACACAGCCAGATCAAATCCCTCAGATTGCACATTTTGCAGGAAATTAGATAAAAGCATGAGTGAGAAAGGAATAAAGTTATGCTTTGATAAGGTTAATGAAGAACTATGAGGAGGTTCATGTCCAGTATAAACACTATATTGGATTAGTTGGGCTGAATGGTCTGTTTTTGAGCTGTAGAATGGATGTAATTCTATTTGATAAAAATGTGACTAGACCTGGCTTCGCGACAGTAACCAGAGACTAACAGCCGGATTAACAGAGATCAAAATCAAACAGGATTCTATTGCAACAGTTCACCTCCCCCCACCCCCACTATGCCTGGATCCTGAATCCACAAGAATCATTGAATAGAATCCTCTGTTGTGCAGAAGCAGGCCATTTGGCCCTTCAAGTCCACACCAACCCTCCAAACAGCATCTCACCCAAACCCATCCCATCCCCATAACCCTGTAAGCTAACCCACCTACCCTGCAGATCCCTGGACACTATGGGCAATTTAGCACGGCCAATCCATTCTAACCTGCACATCTTTGGACTGTGGGAGGAAACCGGTGTCCCAGGAGGAAACCCACACAGACACAGGGAGAACATACAAACTACACACAGACAGTCACTCGAGGATGGAATCAAACCCAGGTCCCTGGCACTGTGAGGCAGCAGTGCTAACCACTGAGCCACCGTGCCACCCCACAGTGCCAAGGAGGAATGTTAACTCTCCTCAGCTGGCACAGACAGAGGTCAGGATGGAGTTGGCCAATTTTATGATCCTTTCACTTTATGTGGCTGAGTTCAACTTGGTTGAAGTTTTCACTAGACCGAACTTCCCAGGAATGTCAGACCTCAGACAAATCATAGTCTTATTGATCTCTGAGGGATACTTAAACTTCTGAATAAATATGTGAGACAGATGAAGAATCTTTGCCTGATTTTGGCTCTGGTTGAATTTGCTTCTGATCTAATCACTGTTAGCAAAGTTGCAAACATCATTGTCAGCATCCCATAATCTTATGGCGATGAGGGACACACAGCAAGTTCCCAGGGATGGGGATATCTTCACACGACATCCTTGCACTGATGGCTGAAGAGTCCGATCTGTGAGAGCAAGGTTCTGCCACAAATGGTTATCAGGTGTTAGTGCGAGTTTTTGTTCTTTTGAGTACTGGCATCTGCACGCACTGGCCCAAAGGTCATGTCGTGATCTCCCTCTGTCTTCACCTTGTGTCTCCCAAGTTCAGGAATCAACCTCTAAGGCCTTTAGCCGCAACCTGTGGGAATCCATGAAGTGGAGTTTTGCATGGGAGGCGATGGCCTAGCGGTATTAACACTAAATGTTGATCCAGAAACTCAGCTCATGTTCTGCGGACCTGGGTTCATATCCTGCCACGTCCTTTAGGGAAGGAAACTGCCATCCTCACCTGGTCTGGCTTAGATGTGTCTCCCGACCCACAGCAATGTGGTTGACTCTCCAATACTCTCTGAAATGCCCCAGCAAGCCATTCAGTTGTATCAATCACTAGAAAGTCTCAACAAAGAAATGAGACCAACAGGATTGACCAAGGCACAAGAAAAGACAGTAGCAGAAACTGCCCCGTCGACCCTGAAAATTCCCTCCCTAAGGGCACAATAGGTCAACCTACTGCAAATGGTCTGCAACAGTTCAAGAAGGCAGATCACCTCCACCTTCTCAAGAGGCAACTGGTGACTGGCAATAATGGCGGGCCCAGCCAGAAAAACCCATGTCCGATGAGTAAATAAAAATAAAGTGTTTGGTGTCATACCTGACATTTGGCTCTGGCCTCTTCACCACACAGAAAGTTCTTAGATATGTGACTGCCTTTGATCTATAACTGTCAACTCCTTAGGAACCCTGTTGAGAAATGCTATAGCATACCTCTGGAGCAAGTGGGACTTGAACCTAGGCCTCCAGGATGAGAGGTAGGAACACTAATACTGCACTATAAGAGCCCTTCCAGGTTAGATACAGCATGGTAATTGGTTTAAACCTTGACCTGATTGAAAATACTTAACTGAATCGAAACAATTGCCTTCATACGAACAAAAGTGGCCTTTAAAATATAGACTTTAATGAGATGTGTCCCATCCTTGCAAGTTTGTCATTTACTCTAATTGTGCAGACTAACACCTGCTGCTCTTTGCGATCAATAAAAAATGATTTGTTGTGTGCGTGTGTGTTCAGCTTTCTAATTTAGCTATTAAAGTGTGAGTGGCTGCCCATTTCTTCGCCCTGTTTAACGTTACACAGCACGTTATTTTTACCTTGTATAATAAGACCAGCTTTTAATATGTCACTTCATCCAAGAACTCACATCAACTTAATAAAGACACGACATTGCTGTTTGAGAGATTGACGGAATATCTGATTTGACAGTCTTCTCAATGTTTCTTTCCATATTTAATTTGTCAGGAAAATAGACTCAAGCCTCAGTGGTTTTGATCAAACAGGTATGAAACAGACACGTCAATGTGCAAATGAAAACTCTCCTCCAATCCAGACATGACAAGTCTCAGCCTCCATCTGATAGGCCACTGAATACAGCTTCCATAGTGGAGGCTTTGTAAAGGAATT